GCTGCAGAAATTAATTAATGCGGAAGTTGGCTGACATTTGCCTAGAATTCTTTAAAGAACTTTGTATTACCTTAAATGCACGGAGGTATTCATTCATTACATAGGAGTGTGTATATACCAGACCTCTGCTTGCGTTGATTACTTCGGTCTGTTCATGGTGCGGCCCTTCGAGGAGTTACGTGATGGTTGTGGTTTAACACCAAAATACGGGGAGAATCGCCAATGGGTCAACAGGGAGTTGTATGGCAACCAGGTGCCGGACCCATAGTACGGCAGTGGTTTAGATAGGCCTCGAGCCCGACCAAGGTGACGAGTGTGTCCACCACACACTGGCAATTGGTACTGAACGCTTGCATTTCGGAGCGCTGATCAAGGCATTTTAATTGATCCGTTGTGCTTAAGGGCACCATGATGTTAAGTAATTTTGGCAGTAAGAGACAGGATTGCACATATTTCTTCCTGCGGACTTAAGATTAAACGAAGTGTGAAGATAAGAGGACATACTTCTAATTTCGACCAAACTATCTGCTCGAACTTCTGTGGGTCTTTCAGCAGGTTACTAAAATTATCCGTCAAACGCGCAATACTTCTCTTCGGCCTTCGCTGGATGGTTTTGTTGCCCTACTATGGAAGATCGCCCTTAGAAAACCCTCACAGATATTTAAATGGGGTGCGAAGTCTACTGTGTATTCAAGATTCATTTAGAAACTAGCTTTACTCTCATAAAATTGAGTCTTACTGCTTATATTATTTTAGCATTGGATAGGCTTGACGAACCTGAGTCTGAGAAAGTAGTATAGTAGTAAGTCACCGGCCAGAAAAAGTCTAAAACATGGCTCTCAGAAACTTGTGTAGATTCATTGTCAAAATTTTGACTGCTTCGACTTCTATCCTACTCTGCCTGCACCAGGAGTTGAGTAAGACAACTCCATAACTTCGAAAATTTCCGGCAGGGAAGAAGTTGATGAAAGAAAACCAACAGCTGAATATATCAAATGGTGTTTGCATTATAGTAGGTCTAATGAAGGTCTTCAGGGAAGCAAAATTTGTTTATCATTAGGAAACCTGCCTCTATTTACATATTGATGTGTGTACACTAATCTAATTGTATATATATTTTCTTTCCAGCCGAGATGATATACGTGGAACCATGCAGTCGCTCGTGTATTCCTACAACCAGTTGGACAACAAATTGGAACGGCACGAACATCGTGAAAGAGCGCTTGGCGAATTACTAAAGAAAGCTTTACAGAGTCTACAGAAAGGGCAAAAGAATCTCGAACCGCTTAATGGTATATTTGGGCGTCTAGACGAGCGAGTCAGCCAAATTGAAACAATGTTGATAACGGTAAGTCAAATAAAACATCCCAAAATACTACTTTGGGTATCACATAGACATTACACTTTTACTCCTTTCTTTCTCTACAGCAAGAAGAAAAGTACAATATTCAAACTGAAAAGCTCGGCGAAACACTCGAGCACATCTTCAAATGGATGCGCGAGAATGATGAATGCTACAAACGACCACCAATGCCGCTAGGTGGCCAAGCAATCGCTCCATCGGCGCCCATCATTCAAGCACCAGCAGTGTCGCCAGAGTTTATTGCCGAACAGGAGAAAATTAATCGAAATATGCTCGAGCATATAGAAAAATTATCCTCGAATGTCGAAAAACTGCTGGACGCCTCCAAGGATATGATGGAGCAGACCGAGGTAGCATTTAAGAGTGTACCATCCACTGCAGAAATGCTTACCAAAATTGAAGACAAACTGGTGAGCTATAGTGTGATAACGCCAGCGCCAGCGCCAGAGCCGGTGGACAACTCCGAATTCGAGAACAAAGTTTTGGGGAAATTCGACGAGCTGGCAACTGGCATACAAGAGCTACGCGCGCAACCCAAGCCCCATGAAGGACTGTCGGAGGCAGACAAAGAATTAATACATGGACTGACGAACGATACGCTCGCTGCGATCGAAAATGTGAAGACCAATGTGCAGAGTGTGACAGAGCAAGGTAAGCGCAGTGAGGATAGGGGTTCACAGACTAAGAATACTCAAAATTTTTAAACAAGCTTGAACTATTATTAACACAAATTATTTATCCAACAGCGCAAGCTGGCACAGCCGCACTCATCAAGGAGACCGAGCAAAGTCTTGAGACTGGTGCTGCTAAAATTTTGGAAGGCGTTACCGAGCAGGCCGACACGCTCGAGAAGTTCTACAACGAAATGAACACCAGCTACAGCAAGTTGAACGATGGCCTCGAGATCTTCAGCAAATTCAATAACATTCTGATGGCCAATTCCGAATACGTTTTAGACACGCAACGCAAAGTCGAATTTGGCACCTTACAGACAGTGCAAAAGATCAACGATCTGCTTGACAAACAACGAGAAGAGATCGTCGACTTGCTGAAGGCACGCTTCGACGCTGTGGACGAGAACGTAATTGCTGGACAAATCGAAACAATGCAGAATCTCAGTTCGACTATCGAAAGCGAAATCAGCCACGTCTGGCGGCAAATTTCCATTATGAATGCCGAGATCATCGACAACAAGGATCTGCTTAGCCTAATGCAGGGACGTAATGAGGTGTTCGTGAACAGTACTTTCCTCAGCATGGCTTCGATGGGCAATAAGGTGGAGGACATTAAGGGACGCATGTTGGATATGGATACAAATTTGAATTATCTGCTGGGCAAACTCTCTCTGATGTCACAGGAATTTGGAGCCATTAAGCAAGGACTCGCCGAATCGCTGGAACAGTTGCGTAACACCTTCCATGTGATGCAGGAGAAAATACCTGCTGCGGGACCAGGACCGCATAATATTGCAAAAAATGAATATGAGACAGAGGTGAATTTGTTGAATAAGCGTCATGCCGGGAGCGCAGATCAATAAGTAATTAAAAATACGTGGAGGATCATTTACATATTTTGGTTTTTTTTTGCAAGAAATTAAAATGCGATATACTTTGTACAATTTATTTTAATTATTCATCACACACACACACACACACTGACTCATTCTTCCAATCCACTGTTAACCAGAAAAAAATTATACAATAACACACTTTTGGCTATTATCAGCTATTATTTATAAGACGTAACCGTTAGTTTAGATATTCTCTTTCGTATTAATAAATAAAATTTATTAAAAATATTTTTAAGTTTAATCAAACTATAGCAAATCAGGAAACCTTCGGCATAATTTTTCTTCACGCTTGCATTGTCTGCGACGCACAGTGGGCCGCCTCATACAAGTTAGCCGAAAAAAAAAATATTTTATTGCTTAAGATGCTTAGATTTGTTGTAAAAAATGGCTATACAAAATTTACCTTGATCATATATCTCTAAAACGAATTATGCTGGGGAACTGAAACTTGGTGCGGATGCATAAATTGTAAATACCCTACTTGCGCCGAAAAATGATAGGTATTGGAAAAGGGGGTGTGGCACTTCCAAAACAAACTGAAATTCTCATATCGCTTATATCTGGAACCGCTTATGCTAACGTTCTGCAATTTGACACAGCTACATATGTCATCAATTCCGTATTTTGGCGAAAAGTGGTGGATAATGGAACAGGAGGCGTAGCACCTCCCATACAAACTGAAATTCTCAATCGCTTATCTATCAGATTACTCGTAGCCTGAACTGAAAACGCCCCTGTCAGATCCGAGTAGCGTTGGATGTGTCACAGGCGTTTGGCACCGTCAGCCTCTCCACGCTACCAGAAGACATTGAGGCTTCCCCTATCCCACAGGGACTCAAACAGTGGTCAGCGAATTTTCTGAGTGGTCGACATTCGTCAGTAATTTTTAGACACCAAATCAGCAAACCGAGGAAAATTAAATAGGGGGTGGTCCCCCCTTTCCTCGCTCAATTCTCAAGAGTTAGCTTCGACAGCCTGCTCTCCATCCTTCCTGGGCCTCCCCTTAGCTGAGTCTGACGACAACGGTGACGGACAAGCCGACCTGAGTGGGGCTTAGTAGCCGCTACAACTAAAACAACTCCAGGCCTATGAATGCCGTGATCGGAGCCCAATCAACACCTGTGTCACAAATGGAGCTTCAACTGCCAAGAAAGACCCGCGTTACCCTGGCCCAATTACGGTCTGAATACTGTAGCCGCCTCAACAGCTATCTGTTCAGACTCGATGAGTGTCCGACATGTAGAGACTCCCCGCACTACACCAACCACCTCTTCACATTCCAGCTCAACTAACACCCCTCTCCCTTTGGTCCGACCCTGTTGAAACTGCCCGCTTCACGGCGACGGGCAACGAACTAAACTCATCAAAACAAGAAGGCCCTAGAGTTGTTGACTTCAATAGCAACCAATTATTAAAAAAAAGTTTTGAGTTATGCTGAAATGTGAATTTTAAACCGGAACTACTGTTAGCGGTAGCATTCAAATGTATTCCGGATATCAACAATATACACAGTACGAAGGCTCTCAAACTGTATGCAAAATTTCATGTGTCGGTAAAGCAGTTTATTGGCTGTATTTTTGATAAAATTATTTAAATAGTTTTTAACATAAAGAATATAGAAAAATAAGTACGAAAAGTGTGTTTTAAGCTTTTGTAAAATTTCTTTTATCGTTAGAAGTTACATAATACACCTACTGCAGATCTGGAAGAATTTTTCCAACTTAGCAAAATCCAATAATGATAAAAGAGCAATACTATTTCTAAAAATTTATTTTTATTTAATGGTTCAACCAATTCAAAAAACTGGAAAAGTTCACCCATTACCAAACACCTTCCACACGAGAGGTGACGTTCTGGAGCAACATTGTGTCTATTGAAGCTAAATCCAGCTAAAACATCAGTCAAACAAATCAAACAGACCGACCAAGAATGACTCAGATTTATATCTTGCCAAGTACTCAAGTACTGTCACTACAGCAGCATTCGTTAAAAACCTTTTTTACAGCAATATCTTTGAACCACACCATTCCAAAAGTTTGTACATTCATACTATGTATAAACACAACATTTTAAATGTTCTATGCGTTTTTAGTCAACGCATATTTATTCGCAAATCAACTTTTTATTCAATTTCATATATGTATGTATTTATATTCCGCTTTTGCTCATTATCATTTGTATGGTAATAAAAATGTGATTCAAATAGTTCTATACATTTAACTTAATTGAAAACAAACCAAAAAATAGTACATATCAAATTGTAATTTATACAATTATACATATTTCTAGTATAATTTAATTGTTTGTGTGCAACCGATTCAATTGAGTGAATTTTTTACTATCAATGCAGTTTATCACGCGCACACATTGTTTTCTTATACTAATGTATTTATATATTAAAATAGTTTCCCCATCTCATAATTTTCGTGCTTGCACTAGTTGCCCATAATTTTTTAAAAACCTATTTTCCCCAACGCTGTTCACATTTTGAATATTTATACAGCACTTTGGCGAAGCTTTCTGCATTCATGTATCGCCCAGTCTCGAATGTATGGAATTCTGTGAATCTTGTCTGCCATGGTAACACCCCGAAAGTGCACGTATCTCTGTTGAAAATTATACTCAATTCTGGATCTACAAATTTCCATTGCATATGTTGTGCTACTTCATCACTAATGTGTTGCTCGAGTTGTTTACGGTCTTCCAATAAGTGCTGCACATTAGAGGTATTACGATGTTCAAATAATTTACGGCAGATTTTAACTATCAGAGGACGATTGTGCTGCTCGGTAAGTTTATAAATCTGGAATAAAATAAAAGTTTATTAGGAATTAAAAATACAAAAAAATATTTCAAAATTCACAGCTACAAAAGCATTATCAGTATTTCTTTTACTTGATACGGAAAGCACGATAGTACATAGTATTTTCGCGGAGCTGATAAGATGAATTAAACGAGAGTCGGTATAAAATTTTATTTACACCACATGCCAATTTCCGGCTTGGAATTATCTTAAAGAATGACTATAGAAAATGAATTACTCACTTTTAAATTTGCGTGTGCTTTTTTGTCATAACTATCGCCATTGCACGCGCTGCCATTTTTACTAATTGAACCATTCCCCACATATCCATTACTATTGCATTCGTCTTTTATTTGGCCCTTTGGCTCATACTCCGGCAGGCTCCATTCGTATTGGTTTGGTCGTAACTCCTTCCAAAATGCTTTTTGTGCCATAAATACTTTTTCCAGGACAATATGTCCCATACTTTCGTCACGCACGTCATATAAACTGACGCAATCGATGCCGACAATGTGAGCATATGTGAAAATGCGTTCCAAAACCGCTTCATTTACGTGTGCAAGTGAATCAGGCCCAATGATCAAATTGAGATGTTTTGGTAATTTCGTTAATTCAGCTTTGCAGCGTTGCAAATACGCGCGGTCGCGGCAGGTTATCGCCGCACTATTGTGCCATAGGTCATATGACCAAAGTACTAAACCTTGCAAACGCAATATTAGAAAACTAAAGATTTCATATACGCTGGCTAGTATATGCAGTACAAGCCACATCAGCTTGTACAGCCGATCAATCATGCCGTTACAATTTGTTTGCCTGCCCTTCTACCAACAAGCGTGAGTACTTGGGAATGTTCAAAATATAATTCACTGGATTGTTGTAGAATTAAATATTTTGGGAAGCTCACAAACATAACCTGTAAACGACATTGATAAATAAAGCAAACTTTTTTGACGCATTTCTTACCTTCCTGTGATTTGTTCGTAAATAATCTCAAGACCCCTAGTTGCTTCAGCCTCCAAACATTTCTCCTTAGACATTTAAACGATAATTTTTATTGTCGTTTTACACATTTTAAGAAAACAAGGTCCAACTACTCCGCGTACGCATTCGGCGAGAGAGTTTATTTTTCATATCAGTTGTTTTTGACAGCGAGCAACACGTCAGTGGTAGTGCGGGAAGATTAATCGCAAAATCTATGAACGATATATATAATTTTATCGTAACTTTCTTTTCGACTAATCGATTAATTATGAAAATAATCACAAATACAAGGTGCTGTTGAAAGAGTAAAAACAAAAATTACAACAAGAAACGATACGCACATTGACAATCAGTACAAAGCAGAATTACAAAAGACACATCATTTTGACAAAAGGTAAAAATTCGCCGTGAAATCAGCGGATCCGATAGAACCACCTTGTATAGATTCACCTTGCACACCATAAAAAAATTGCTACATTACCCCATGTCTCCACCTTCTACTAAAAGTGGCTTAGTATGTGTCAAACGTCTCTGTAACTTTGTCCCGTTTTCTCAAGGGCCCAATTCGCTGCCTTAACATATGACTTTCAAAATTCTCAAGCTACGAAATGACAGCTGATGTTAATACAGCGATGGTAAGAGATTCGACCAGACAGATATGGTTCACCAATGCAAAATTTGCGGTCTTCGCTGACATTTCTCTCTTAACAGAGCTTTATTAACAGAATCTGAAGAAGGTGGAGACGTTGAGTTACTCACGCAAACACGTATGAATCAAAATTACATAACAAAAAACGGCGCTCTAACCACCCAATAATAGCCAGGATTTACCATTGATTTTTGACAATTTTATTGTTGAAGCTGTTGCTCGATTTCTTTTTTCAAAGATTGTTGATCTATAACAAGTTGCTTTGAAAGTGTACTGCCATACTTGAGACCGTAATTAAAGGCCAGCTCCTATTTGATAAACTATTTTTCTATCATTTTGAATGAATAAATGAGTGAAAAATTTCCTTCGATTTTAAAAATCAGTCAGGAACTAACTATCGATAGTTGAAATCACCCGATAGTTCCTAACAAAGATAAGTTTTACACGGCTGGTACATTTTACTTAAACGTCGTAAACCGCACCCGTGTAAATGGCAGCTTAAGATATGCACTGCACAACCAGCCTGTCATGCGCTGCTGTATCGACACTTTCTACAATCCTAATCGATCCTAATCGGTTTGGAACAGGGCTGCCACTAACCCTAGCTGCCATATTGTGATTAAAAAGGCTGAAAATCGCTGAAAGCCTGAAAACCTTGTTGTGGAATTGTACTCAACGCATTTCCCCAAATGTATTCAAATAATGGTAAAAACTAAGCAAATGCTTTTTATTAAATTTCAGACCTTTTCCTTAAATTTATTTGAATAAATAGACACTGCGCCAAATTGAAAAAGTATGTCCCATTTGTAGTAAAGGCATGGTTTGAGGAAAGATGGCAGGCCTGGTTAGGGGCCGAAATCAATTGGCAACGCTAAGTTGGTGCCGAAAAGAACTGGTTGGCTTCGCTGGCCGCTGTTTATGATTTTCATTCGATTTTAGAATTTCGATTCAAATTGTTTAGTTTCGCGGAAGATTCGTCGGATTTTTCTCAGGAAAATCTTGGGGGAAAAGTGGTGTGTGATTGTGTGAAAATAGAAAGGTGTGAGAAAAGTTCTAAGTTTGTATGGGAAGTGCTCACTTGGGTAACGCCATGTGTTTGATGCTTGGTTTTATTGGAAAATTTATATGAAAAAATATAAATAACAAGTATGCCAAAAAGTGTGTGTGAAAAATTAAACTAAAATATCGCGTTCTAGCTACAAATCACAAAATTTACAAGTATACAAAAGCGAAAAGTAGCTGCGGTTGAAAAGAGCTCAACACCACGCCTAAGCGAGGATGGCTGCAACGGCAGCCGTTTATAATCGGCTCCATAGCACCAGTGGAAGCATTGGTGGACTCAGCGCGAGCATGGGTAGCATGGCACATTCGCAGCTGGCTCGCTCGCTGGAACGCATCCTGGAGGAGGCTCACCTAAGCGGCGAGTTAATACTGACGAATCGCAAGTTGAAGGACTTTCCGAAAACAGGCACCAAATACAATCTCGCGGATACCGTGATGGCAGGTGAGTGTACGACATGTTATGAGGTACCTATGCAAAATCGTTTACAGGAAGGAACAAATTTCAAAGGGGTGTGGTTAGGAATGTGTGGAATATGCATGCGTCTTATGCTTAATGATTTAAGGGAATTATGAAAAAAAAGAAACTTTAAAAATATGTGTCTGGCATGAATCAACAACGACGGCAAGTTTGTGGCAAATCAAAGCAAAGCCAAAGTCGAATGCAGAACACAGAGGTAGCATGCAGCAGACACTTTGGGTGCGGCCGAGTCAGCCAAGCGAAGCAAAAAATGCATATGCCTGCGAATGTGTAGGTGCTGGCCAGAGTTCAAAAACTTTTATGTTTACTAGTATGCACTACAAAATCCTTTACAACTTTTTCGTTGAAAATGTACCAGCTGTTCATTAATTATTCCAAGAAAAAGTTCTACTTCCTCATTGCCACTTTGAAAAATCAATAAAATGCTTATACATAGCTAACACTTCGTTGTCAGCTGTCTCAATTTCTGTAGCCTTTTCGTAGTACGAAAGCATACTGATTGCAATGTGTTTCACGTTCGGCGCTTGGCATCCACCAGCTGCCTGCCGCATGCCGTTTACTTCTCCCTCAAGGACAATCGATTTTATTGCATTTTCTCTTTCTTGCCTGAAAATGAAATTATAATCTTTACATACACAATTTGATATACTTCGCTCTACTGGTCTGACCGTTGCGTGCAGAAGAGCAAGGAGACGAGAGCTTTGTTGTTGTTGAACGTGGCCATTTGTAGTTTACGACGTGTGCATTCGTTCGTGTGTTATTGCAGATTGCACTTGATATTTGCTTTGAAGTGCACTTGAAAGCACATATAACTCGCGGCCTCTACTGACTCCTGGGGTGAGGTGAGTTGGTGGCAGTAGTGGTGGTGGGTCGTGCGCATTTCTGGGATCACGCGATTTGCGCTGGGATTCGTATTTTCTTTATTTGTTTGCCAACTTGCCGGCTGTAAAGCAAATTGCTGCTAGTAATTATGCAGCGCTGTAGCCAACCCTCAACATCTCACTTGGATGAACTCGGTTTGCTGCTGTGTTTGTGAACTTTTATGTGTTGGTAACTCTGAGGACTTTCGCTTTTCGTGGTGCAAATTTGTAATTAGCCAAAATGTTGCAAAGCACACCATTGAAGGGTGTTTGTGGTTTTTAGAATATTTATTTATTTATTTATTTATTATGGCTATACTATGCTAATTTTCACTAACGGTTAATAATAATCCTTAAAATTTCCAATATTAGTCCAAACATTCGGATAAGAAATCGAGTTTACTTACATTCGCAAGTCGTCTTACACATTTACAGCTAAATTATATTTCAATGTAAAATGATTTTTATTTTTTATAAACCATTTCGCTAATAAATAATTCTTTGCAATCGTTGGCACCATACTAGCAATGCCATAAAAACCTGCCTCACATTAGCACAATTTTCGCTTGCCATAATTGTATGCTTATGTCGAAAATTTGTCAGTTGCAGACATATTTGGAATGGCTATAAGCACACAAAAGTTTAAGAATTCTACACTTTTCAAATACTAAATCAAAGCAAAAAAAAAGATACAAAAATAACCACTTCATAATTTTTGGTTGGTTCAGACGACACAAGCAGAGCGTTGCTTCCATTTGGCCAAATATTTTTTGGCTTCACATCGTTTTGGTGGTTGATTTTCGCCACAAACAACTTTTTTCGTTTTTAATCCATTCACTATTCTTCAGTATTAGGTACTTTGCGTTGCCCCTTAAGGTTTCGAGCAAATTTGGGACCCCAATCTTTTCATTTTGCTTTGTATTTGCACCCCTTGGGTACCATTTTCACATTTTTGACGTGCGTTCTCGTCTGTCGTGCTTTTAATATCTTTTCCCTCTTCAAATGTTCTCCCCTTTTGCAGAGCGTGTGCGTAAGCAGGTGATGGGAGGATTCGCGACTGTGGCCAGCTCCTTGCAATTGTCAGATTTGCAAACATTTTGTTGCGGCTTTAGAAATAAAATAAGGCGAGGATATTTGAAATTAATTTTTATTGATTGCGTGCCATTCTCTTTTTTTTTGGTAGTCGCCATATTTCTCTTATCTACTAATGCTCATTTCAAAGGGATTTTTTCTCGCTAAATGGGTATGTTTGTATATATGTGGATACTAGAAAAGGTGAACACTTCCTTCTAAACACCTATCGTGGCCGTATATCTCATTGTGAACCTTAGTACGCGATCTAGAAAATCTTTTGTATCCCTATCATAAGATCCTAACTATCGAGTCCAAGATATGTCTGTAAATAAGACGTTCGACTATGTTAAGGCCAATAGGGTACCTAATTCAGAGGGTACCTTATTCAAGCGAAAGGAAAGCCAAAGAGCATAGCTTGTCTGTCTAAGCCAATCTACCGCCAAGAGTTTAAGAGTTTCTAGACACTTCTTGATGATCCCTAAGATGATCATAACGTAGAGCGGGGTTCTGATGGCCGCTTGGCTGCCTGAATGCTAACTATAAACTCGCATTTCAAACTTTCTCCGAGGTTTAGTAGGCACATGTAGAGATTGCTTGCACCTCAGCCTGAAACTCTGTGGTTGTTGTTGTAGCGGACTAGATGCGGATGTGTCTAACGAGTGTCCGGCATGCGGAGAGACACTCCGCGAATTGAAACATCTCTTCGCATGCCCACAAATCCTCACTCACCTAACGCCTCTGTCCCTGTGGACAGACCCTATAGAGGCTGGACGCTTCTTTGGTCTTCCTTTAGTGGAGCTTGACGACAACGACTGAGATACAAGCCGATCGAGGCAGGTTCATCTGCCTATTTAAATAAGAAAGTCTAGTGCCGAGTTCCGTACCTGTTCTATCTTCCTTGATCGTTGATCAGTTTGTGTACCACTACACATACCTATCTGGGTTCAAGTGGAGGGCATCCATTTCTCCAAACCCCTTGGTCTGTGTGCCAGTATCGTCTTACCGAAGCAGACATCGACCGCAGGGATATCATCCTGGAATGTCAGGGTATTGCAATCGGCTCAGG